CCTCGCCCTCCACCTGGAAAAGCTCCCGAAACAGCTGCTTGCAGAACTGCGTCAGCCAAAGGCGTCAAAGGGATGCCGCCATCTGGGAGCGGGACTAACCCCACGGATTCTGCAGAGAGGCTGTCCAATGGCAAGCGAGCTGTGTCTGACACAAGCTCCGCATCGCTGCCGGCACTGTCTAAGCCCGGCTTGCTCAAGCCCTCTGCCCTTGTGTGGCCTTTGCCTTTAGCAGCTGCGGCGTGGTCCTGCCGCTGCTGCTCGGCGGGACGGGGGAGGGTGGAGGCTAGTGGGCCCAAAGCAACATCCTGCAACGAAGCACCAGGGAGATTTGCTGCACTCAGATCGGCGTCTTTTGCATCGTCCCTTGATGTTGTGCTATCCTCCCCTGCTGCGAAACCTTCGGAGGAAAGCTGCTGTTGAAATGGATGTCCCAACGGGACAGGAGGCACGTCGCAGCCTCGGTGCTGGACTATGTCTTGGCCCGATGCATCCGCAGAAACAGCATTCCAGTCACCTGCGCCTGCCGGAGTGGCAAGCTCTGCCTGGTGTACGATCGCATGAGGTGCTGGTGCTTCGGAGGTGGCACACAGGTTTTCTGCTGTACTCCGAGTGGCATTTTGTGCATCGTCCCTTGATGGTGTGCCTCGCCCTCCACCTGGAAAAGCTCCAGAAACAGCTGCTTGCAGAACTGCGTCAGCCAAAGGCGCCGCATCGCTGCCGGCACTGTCTAAGCCCGGCTTGCTCAAGCCCTCTGCCCTTGTGTGACCTTTGCCTTTGGCAGCTGCGGCGTGGTCCTGCCGCTGCTGCTCGGCGGGACGGGGGAGGGTGGAGGCTAGTGGGCCCAAAGCAACATCCTGCAACGAAGCACCAGGAAGATTTGCTGCACTCGGATTGGCGTCTTTTTCATCGTCCCTTGATGTTGTGCTATCCTCCCCTGCTGCGAAACCTTCGGAGGCAAGCTGCTGTTGAAATGGATGTCCCAACGGGACAGGAGGCACGTCGCAGCCTCGGTGCTGGACTATGTCTTGGCCCGATGCATCCGCAGAAACAGCATTCCAGTCACCTGCGCCTGCCGGAGTGGCAAGCTCTGCCTGGTGTACGATCGCATGAGGTGCTGGTGCTTCGGAGGTGGCACACAGGTTTTCTGCTGTACTCCGAGTGGCATTTTGTGCATCGTCCCCTGATGGTGTGCTTCGCCCTCCACCTGGAAAAGCTCCAGAAACAGCTGCTTGCAGACCTGCGTCAGCCAAAGGCGTCAAAGGGATGCCGCCATCTGGGAGCGGGACTAACCCCACGGATTCTGCAGAGAGGCTGTCCAATGGCAAGCGAGCTGCGTCTGACACAAGCTCCGCATCGCTGCCGGCACTGTCTAAGCCCGGCTTGCTCAAGCCCTCTGCCCTTGTGTGGCCTTTGCCTTTGGCAGCTGCGGCGTGGTCCTGCCGCTGCTGCTCGGCGGGACGGGGGAGGGTGGAGGCTAGTGGGCCCAAAGCAACATCCTGCAACGAAGCACCCGGGAGATTTGCTGCACTCAGATTGGCGTCTTTTTCATCGTCCCTTGATGTTGTGCTATCCTCCCCTGCTGCGAAACCTTCGGAGGCAAGCTGCTGTTGAAATGGATGTCCCAACGGGACAGGAGGCACGTCGCATCCTCGGTGCTGGACAATGTCTTGGCCCGATGAATCCGCAGAAACAGCATTCCAGTCACCTGTGCCTGCCCAAGTGATAGGCTCTGCATGGTGCACGATCTCATGATTGCAGGGGCGGGATGCTTGTGCTGCGGACGCGGCGCACAGACTATCAGCTGACATGGGGTCTGCGCTTGATCCGATGCAGGTATTGCGAAGCTGTGCCGGGTCTTGGCAGGGTGCATGCGGAGCATCTGTGCCTCGCAACTCTGGTTCGTGGGCATCAGGACGTGAATTGTCAGAGTAATTGGCTGTGCATACGGCGAAGGCCTCAAGCTGGGCCTGCCCTACATTTGCAATCTGCCCGATGGTATGGCTTCCTGACCACCTCTCCGAGGTCTGCTTCTGATTCTGCAGCAGGTCTTTTGTCTGCACGTGGTCCTGTGCCGGCAGCAT